TCACAGAGTTCCTGCATGCATTTGTTACAGAGCTGAAAAATAGACTATCTTTGTAAGCTTCTTCTGCCAAGTAACTCCATGGTCTTTTTCTTGCTGCAGATGGGAAAAGCTTTGCTGTTATGCTGATTGTTAGGTACCACTAGCACTGTCCAAACATCATACAAAATATTGACAACAATATTGACAAAATTATTCTTCACTGGTTCAAAATAGTGGTAGGCGCTATGTTAGCAAAAAGCATTTGTGCCCTCTCCTAAAGCTGTGCAGTGTAGATTTTTGATCTTCAAATTTTAGTACTGAAATTTATTCCCCTATTACTAAAGGTCTTAGCTACTATCCTGGTTCAAAACCACCAGAAGTGTGTTTCAAATTGTTGCTTTTATGAAGAAGATACATACTGCTTCCCCTTCTGTCATGCGTTTCCAAAGTACATTTTTAACATTATCATCTAGCAGTTTCCCCTGTCGTTTTCCCCGATTACTTTTGGGCACAATACTGAGATCAAACCACAGAATGGTGAGTGGTAGTGTTACACTGACTTTCCCAGTGATGCAAAAGTGATCGGAAAAGTGCTATCTAATTGCCTGAGGCTCTGTCACTTTCTAATGCTCAGGTAACATCTCCTACTCAGATATGTGTATGAGCTGAAGCAGATAATAATAATAACATATGCTATCAAGTCAATTGAGTAGAGAGTATTCAGAAGTGGTTTATCATTCCATTCTTCTGGGGGCATCCTGGGACTGTGCAGCTTGCCCAAGGCCACAAAAGGTTGGCTCTTCTTGCTGGATCAGAGAATCATAGAATAATTGAGCTGAAAGGGGCCTATATGCCATTAAGTCCAACCCCTTGCTAAAGGCAGGAATCTAACTCAAAGCAGATCTGACAGATGGTTGTCCAATTTTCTTCTAAATGCCTCTAGCACTGGAGCGCTCACCACCTCCCAAGGCAATTGGTTCCATTGCCGTACTGGTAGTTTTTCCTAATATTCAGCTGAAATCTGGCTTCCTGTAGCTTGAGCCCAAAACTATGTGTCCTGCACTCTGGGATGATCAAGAAGAGGTCCTGCCCCTCCTCTGTATAACTACCTTTAAAGTACAGTAGTGCCTCGACTTACGAATGCCCCTACCTACGAACATTTCAACTTACGAACAGCTCCACTCGCAAAATTTTGCTTCAACTTGCGAGCAAGCTTCGACCTAAGAACAGAAAAAGGCAGGGGGGGAAGCGGGAAATTCAAACCATTGGTGGCGAAGAGGCTGCCTCTTTGTAGCTCTTTTGCCCCAACGGTTAGAGCAGGGGGTCAGGGAACTTTTTAAAAAGTATTTTTTATTTTCTATAACTATAACATAAACAAAAACATATAAACTCAAATACAATGACTGTGTTCCCCACCACCATGTACGGAACCTCTTGCCATATTATTATTATTATTATTA